GGGGGGGGAGTATAAAGTAAGTTGCATTTCTTTGTTCTAGTTAGTTGGCTCCGGACGACTCGATTTGCTTGTATTCTGTCCAGTACAAATAAATCTGCGTGAACTCAAGAATCTCTCTTGTGTTCTGTTGGTGTTCGTCACCGAGTTCCTGTAGTAGTGAGAATCCTGTGGTATCTCACCACCAGTCAGATAGCAAAGAAGTATTAAGATAGAATCAACTTCAAACCAAAGATCATCGACCTTGAAAAACCACAACAGTCTCATAATCCACCCATATCTGGACTATTTATAATTTTAATATCAGAAATCAAATCACTGTTAGCACCGTTAGCTGCTAGCCGCCGGCTCAGCCGTCGCCATGTTGAGAGCCATGTGGAGGCTATTCTTCAAGATATGCTCTGAATGTCAATTAAGCACCTTTAAAGTAAAATCTAGCCAGGGACTAATTCAAACTTACCTTTTACAGTCATGCTTTTAATGTTTACTCCGGGTTATCATTTTTCAAATCAAATCTATAGCAGTTACAGTTTAGATTACATTATACTTCCGTCCTGTGACTTTGAACATGTTACAGACATCAGTTGCACACGGGCGCTCCTCACCCTTAATGGAAGTGACACTACATATCTCGCATTACTACACGTCACGTCTGTCTAAGGTGAGCACTGCACAGCAAGTCTCAGCAAGCACAAAGTCCAAAATAAAGCAAAATCAAAGGCCTTTTATCAAAACACTGATCAGCATCAGGGCCACTCTCTGTCAACTACAGGTGTTCCTTTACATTGTGTTTATGCCGCACAGAGAAACCAGGTCACGGTCACCCAGCATTTGAAAACGCTTCCACTGCCTTCAGTTTAAGTCCATCCAGGAATTCCCATCCTTTCCTAATTGTCTACTGCTGCAACTAATGATAATATACATTATGGACGGATCTGCTGATTCCTTTTTAAATTAATTAATTAATAATGGTTTTGTCTTTACTTTTATATAAAATGTCAAACATAATACAGGTACAATGTCTAAAATATTTAATAACCTATCATGACTTGCAAAGAAAATCATATATTTAAACTAGAGAGGGTTAAAACCAAAGAGTGTTTGGCGGAGCTAAAAAAACAAATTGCCATTTATTGTGAAATTTATTTCAACTTCACTTATTCTCAAGGTGCATTGAGAAGGAGAAAAGTATAAAGAGCCCAAAACTCCATATGACAACTTTAACTCGTAGTTTTTTTAGCCTATATTTGTTTACCTTTTGGCAACGTGCCACCACTAAAATGCATGTGGAATTAGCCGTTAGCAGTTGCTGTTTGCATTTTACCCAAGGATGTACACACAACTATAACTGCATTACTTTGATACTGAAGACTCAGATTATCAGGGAAGTTCTGGAGTTAAAAGGATTGTCTTTTAAAAAAATAAGATGTTAAAAACATTTAAGATACGGAAAGTGGGCGGACCTGGAATCTGCAATGGAATTTTTACACAGGGCAAGTGATTCATAAGCTACTGGGCTACCCCCATTAAAGTGAAATATGTGCAGCTGAGATCAACGTTTTGATTTATAAACTAGGATCTAGAATGGTTTTGTTGCTGTGGGATAAATCTCTACCGCAGCCTGACCCTTGCATATTAGCGTTGGACTCTGACTCTGCCATAAAGAAGCAGGAGCTCATAATCATGTGGGAAAGTTGGTGACAGCTCGTCTTACTATTGAGGTACTCCAGCAGGCTGCCGTTGTTCATCAGCTCTGTGATGATGTAGATGGGCTCCTCCAGGGTGCACACAGCGTACAGCTGGATCAGCTTGGGATGCCGCAGCCTCTTCATGATCTGAGCCTCTCTCAGGAAGTCCTCTGTGTCCATTGTACCTGCGAGAGGTGTTCAGTGATGGTATATTAGGAGTGGAACTTTTTTTCTTTGTGACATCTTTGGTGTAGTGTTTTGTACACTCACTCTTACAACCAATACATTTTTTTCCCCAAATAAGAAACTGAGCCTGCTTACAATTCTCCACTATCACTTTACTTAATGTTCGCATTCTGACAAAGTTAGCCCATAATGAATACAACTAGCCACATGAATATGTTAAATACCCAGCAATACGGTCATCGTTGACCGGCGGAGCAGTGACGCGAAGTTCTGCTCCTGGCCGGACGAGGAGCTGCTGCTGCTGCTGCTGGGTGCAGAGCTCTCCACCTCCCGCCGGAGCACCGACAGTAGGTCAATCTGGGTCTGTGCAGGCTGGTCGCTGTCCGAGGCCCCGCTGGAGTCTGATTTTGTCATATTTCGCGGGAATTGGACAAGCGAGAAGATTGACTATTTCTATATAGTTATTAATGCTCGTCATCTGTGCCATCTGGTCTGATTCCGGCGAAACCGGAATTTTAACTAGAAACTCCTTTAGCTCAGACTTCAGCGGGGCCTCCAGCAGCGACCTGCCTTCCGTGCACGGAGACAGATCCTGCTTTGCTGCCGCCTTCGATCTGCGAGCACCGCCCCCGGCAGCAGCTCCTCTTCCACAGTCCAGGAGCTGAGCTTCTCCTCACTGGTCCACCCGGTTCCTGCTGGGAGTCAACACAACGACGCCACACTACTGGGAGGCCCAGGGCCGTATTGCAGGGCCCGCTGGACGGAAAAGAGGCCCTGGAGGACCAGGACTGCACGGGGCAGACTATCAGACCTTGCTGCAGTAAAATTAGGTTTTCCAAAGGGACCGCCAAAATCAACACTAAATTATAGTAAAGACACAACTTTCTAAATTCACTAACCACACACTGAACTATTAACGTGACCAAATCATCTTACTATCAGTACTTTACTCATTCCGGAATAGTATGATCCTGTTCAACACCTCCGGTAAGAGAAATAGAGGCAGTAGCGTACCATGTTTGAGGGTCTTCACCGCGACTGCTGTGGTGTCGTTCCACAGGCCCTCGAACACTTCTCCGAACTGACCGGCTCCGAGCTTCCTCAGCAGCTTGATGGACTTGCGGTTAATCTCCCATTGGTCCACCGTGTTGTAGGACAGGCCGTGAGTCTGCGGAGCCTCCATCTACACGGACGGGAGGAGTTGTTGTTTACTGAGATGACAATATGACTTTATAATGCATTTTAAAAAGTGTACTTAAAGAACAGAAACAAAGTGTCTGACCGTCTTGCATGGTTCGCGAAGACACACACAGAGGCCATCGGCCTGCTTGGAGTAATGTTCCACTAACTCCTCCAGTGTTTCAAAGGATCTGCTCCTCGACACGAAGTAGTGACCGTTGTCCAGTTTTTTCAGCTTGTAATGCTTCACCTTCCCACCGTCCAGCACTGAAAGACAAGTCAACATGAGGGATGTACGCAAGAGTCAGGAACTGCATAAGTAAGTTTTCCTCATGGCACAGGAGCTGAGGGAACGTTTTTAATTAAAGCAAGTCAACACGCGTTTGTCACATGGTCCCTGTAAATGTGCTTCAGTATGACAAAGTAGCGCCACATATTCTAAAAATAGAATATTGTCCATAATCCTTCATTGGAATCCAAACATCATGTCTCGCCAACTTAATATTGAAACCATTTCAAAAATGCTGAACGTATGTGTTGTAATAGAACTATTACATAACTTTTTTTTTTACTAGTTCCTTTATCACCTGTGCTCCTATCAGGAGTTATTGGTGTGTTAATCACATATACAGATTTAAAGGCTGCTGTTGGATCGTGGCCAATATTAGAAAAGTAATAACACACACAAAAAGCAAATATCGCCGTCACTTGGTCCTTTCATTCCATTTCATTTAAATCAGTAAAACTAGCACGGGGTAAATATGTTTTTGATTCTCACACACACAAACTCAGTGACTTAACCTCAGGTTGTGTGGCTCATCAACTGCCTTTAATGAATGAACATGGAAGGAATTTGGTCCCAATGGAAAGAAAGAGCAAGGCCGAAGTGAGAAGACAGATTAGAGCAGAGGGAGATAAAAGTGATCACGCTGCTTTATGGGGAGCACAGACCTCTATTTTTATTTAAATCGATGACCTTGGAGCCATTAATAATTTGAGTCAATTGAGGACAAGAGTGAGTCACTGAACAATGCCGGGGCTGCTTGGTAACGAGTGGACACAGTACACACACTGTGTGCTAACTGACCAGCTAGCATGACTTCATCTGAGAAAGCAATGTTGATCGAGCGGAATAATACACTAGTGCAATTTAAGTTTGTTGGCAGTCTGACTGCTTTAGGTAGATTAAGACATCGCTGAGTCATTGTCGGTAATACTTATGATACATTAACCACAATGTTCCGTTTGTACATATCCATCTTACCATAAGACACTACTCATATTGAAGCAAATTTGTGATATTAGGCGACACAAATAAAATTGAATTATAAAACCTGGAGTGTATTACAGAGTGCGTTTTGTAGCTGATGACACCTTTTATTTTTAAGAGAAAAGAAAGTAATGTGTTCTTCGTAACTTACATGCTAAAAGTGGAGCGGGGACTTGGAAAGAATCTGGTGTCTCATGATACAGGAGTTATGATGCAATACATTGCGATACTGTAAGTAACAGTACTGTAATATTGTTATGGAATCCCAACAGTGGGATCTCAATTTACATACATCACAGTCCCTGTTAGCGCTGCAGCTATTGATCATTTTAATAAGCTTAAGAGTATTAAAATAACATTCGCTTCCTAAGGAGCAATGATAAATATACAAATAAGAAAATAAGACGGAACAACTAATAACAAAATGGTATTGCATAGAACAACATTATCTTCCAAAACTTAACCCATGTAGTGCATGCATGTTGGTGCCACACTGCACTGTGGGTTTCAGGGCTGCACGCTAACTTTTTTTCCACCACTGTTCCAAAAACATAATTTTCAACCGTCCCAAAAAGTTCTAAATGTTATCTTTTACTTTTGTTATTGTCATCTATAGTGGGTATTTGCTTAAAGATCACACAATGCAAATGTTTAATCAAATATTTGCTTTGATTAAAACAATCTTGGCATTAGTAGTTATAATTAAGTTTTATATAAGCTGCTAAGAGCTAGTGTTGGAAAGTTAAACAGCTCATAATTTCCTTTCTAATATCTATTTCATATTGCTGGGAAAACTTCTCCTTAACACAACTGTATTTGTTCAGGTTCCTTGCCAAGAACTACATTTCATTTGAACACATCATTAAGTATATCAATATTTACTCACTCCCCTAGCTTAACGCGTGGAGGTGTGTTTACTTCGTAGAAACTAGAAACCCATTTACGATATCTCTTTTGTGTTTTCATTTTCATTAGCCCCCATAGGCTACTGGTCCGCTATCAAACCCCCGACGCTGCTCAATTGAAAAAGCGTGCTTTTCCTTACTTCTGAATTCTACTTTTTGAAAATGTACACAACCCCTTTTCGGAGGAGAACTTCTTTAAAGTTGCCACTGTAACATGTTTATCGTAGCTTACCCGAGAGGGACCGCTCCCCTTTCTGACTTTCACAGTTTCTGATGAGGAAGGCGCCATGCCGATTCCCCCCCGCCAGCAGCATCTTCTCTGCATCCAGCCTCTTTGTGTTGGGAAAATACCATCTGCGGAATTTAAGCAAAAAGGAGCCGAGCGGGTCAAACATAATGGCTTTCTGAATATAAATAATAATTTATAAAAGGTTTACTGGTAATTTGGATTGATTTCAAATGGGCTGATCAATTCTGTTGTACTCACTAAAACAAAACATATGTAACAATCAATAATGTCCCTTTGTCAACAAATCCCCTGAAAGCCCCAAAGCAACAACACAGAGATCCACCAGCAAGTACTGCGTGTGAATCAAAGCCTGATATATCTTCTTCCTCTCTGCCATCGAGCTCCATTGTTGTCCAAAACTATTAAGAGCACATCAGTGAGCATCAACTCATCAATGTTCTTTCATCATCATGACCATACCCACTGTTTATTTTCCCTCACTTCATGCACAGTCCCGCTGTCACTAGAGCACCAAATGTGTATCAATGCGCCGCTAAAAATAGTGCCCGCCAAATGCAATATATCCTCCTGTTTAATCAACGATCGTTTTAAAACGACAGTGCTCAGCTGTTTTAAGAAATGCTTTAGCATCTTAAATAAATGACAGCTCATATACAAGACCTATCTATCGTTATAGACTTACATCCTCAGTGGGAACGAGTGGGTTTGGGGCTGAGAGTCACAGAAGGGCTGTGAACGTCTGACTAATTATTGTCAGTTTGGTCTTTTCATGAGATTTGTTGACAATAGATAAGATATAGAATGAGACCAGCCTTATCCCCCAAGACCTTCTTTATTTTAGTCTGGATATCTTTTAATCCTAAATAATTTCCTGACCACAAACTAACTTCAACATACATAAGGAGGCAGTCTCTGGGGGCCCCACAATATGTTTTACCCCAGGCCTCCTGAGCAGGTTAATCCGGCCCTGATTAAACTCCAGAATAGCTGCAGAGGCCTGTGACATTTAACCAGAATATTAAAAATGAATATTTAACATTACATATACTGAAACCAGTTGTCCATCCAGTTTGTGATTTAGTGAAACAAATGTTGTCTGGACTGATGCGGGCAATCAGAACTATTTTTAACCCTGCGAGTCAAACGGGAAAAACCAGCGTACAGCTGAGAGGTAACCGGTTCCACTGAGGAGGAGGAGGCCTTTCTTTGCGACGTCGCTTTTCCCCAAGAATTCGGCTACACGCAACAATAAAGGTTTTATTTGTGAAAACAATGTGTGGAGAGGTTACCACATCATGTAGCATCTGAGGCATGTTGAGGTGGCTTTCCTGCAAAACCAGTTTCTGTGACTGCCTAGAATGTCACAGTCATTAAACAGATCATACAAGAGAGAGCAGTCCTCAAACCATGAAATGAGTCAGCATTTTTGCACTTTGGGTTCCCTTGTGTCAAAGTCAATGTTTTTTTTAATGGGTTTTTGGTTAGATGCTCTGCCACAGAGCTTATTTTCTCCCATAATCCAAAGGAAAAATGCCGTTTGTTTATTGTTAATGGAACTAGTCGGCGCTAACCTCCGGGTTGATCTACAAAAATACCTCACCCCTGTCACATTTTATTGGCCAGGAAATGCCAGCAAAGGCATTTTAATGCACTGTTCATGTTGTGTTTTTTATTTATTTACTATACTTTATTAAAGGTGTATTGGAAAATACACAAAATACATAAATTGACTTTTGCTTACATATGTTAATATGTAACAATGTTGATATATTTCATTAAAAAAAATGAATAATAATAAAGTAGAGAAAAACAATAATATATGTTTATATATTCTTAATTTTGTATACATTTTATAATATTTCAGATCAGTTCTCTGTTCCATAACTGCAATTCAAAGTATCCTGCACATTTTGGTTCAAGTGCTTGTTTAATTGGGAAAAATAATAAATCATCCTATAAATTATAATTGGTTGCCAGAACACATCTTCTCCAGCAGTCCGTTTCTTTTTACATTTTGAATGTGCTCTCATTCATTCATTTTTATATATATATATATATAAATATATATATATATA